ATATAGCCAACACCAACAACAACATCCTACCAATACGTCAAGAAACATCCCTCTCACTCTATATGACTTGACAAAGAAAATACACGCAGAGGAAAATATACTTAAAGTTGTCGCCAAGGTTAACAAGCAGCTTTTTGTTCGTTTACACAATTCTGTTCATGAGAAAGATTATACATTGCGTCGCTATCTCAAACAGAAAAAGTAAGTGTTCAATTCATCTTCTTTTCATCGATCATCTACTCTAATTCATCTATCCCCTTTAGGCTCTCTGAACCTCTCCCTGATCATGGCTTTAATCAACTCGAACGTGCTAGCATCCAACGCTATACACAAACAGGCGCTAATCTTTAATCTTTTTACTTCGCATCCGTCGTTCACCACACTGGTCTTCTGTTTTGGGTACTTGGTCTTCAACTATCAATACAATCCTCACCAATATTGCAGCATTATCAGCAAATGTCAATCCAGCACAATTGTCATCACAAACAGCTACACAAATCGAATCACAAATTTGCAAATTGTGGATTACTTTATTGAAAGAAGAAAAACCTTTTGATGTCGCTACAAATGGATATACTATCGCTCGATTTGTCATTGCTTCTTGCTTGCAGTTCAATGGCCAATTCAAAGACGTTTCCTCGATTGCACCATTTATTCTCAAATCAAGTACTGGTTCCGTCTACTCTTACTCAACAACATATATACAAACTATGCTAGTCAAAATTTAATTACAGTGTAAGTTCTTTGCTTTTTTTTGGCCTTCCATATTAGCCATTTTACACTCATATAACAATATCATCTACAAACTCTTTTTTAGCTTCACCGCAGACTACAACAGTATCTGATTGATGGCAAAGCATCTGCATATGCTGCTATTGCTGAGTATAGTCGCATTGCTTCCATTTCAGACTCGTCAGAGTTTGTCACAGATAAGATTGTCTGGACACCACACTCCAACCATCTGTCACTTGCCATGGTCGAAACCAACGAGCGTATTCATGTACATGATTTACGTCTCTTGGCCAACAACTTAAAAACTACCATACAACAGAAAATACGTAAACTCACATTCGACATCGACCTTAATAATCTTCTTGAATTCCGCAACAACAAACCAATCCATTTATACGACGATTTCAACAATCGAACCATCAACTATTCATTTTTCACCGACCCAAAGAACAACCTCCGGCATCAATTCGGCCACATCCTCAATCACATACACACGACCCCACACTTATCTCGTCATTATATTCAACATATAACAAACAACAAAACAACATACCATATATCCGCCATTAAAACATACATCACAATAGCTGAACAAATCCAACGTGATTTGTTCATGCTCATGCACCTCACGTATGGCCAAACAGCTCGGGCCACAGAGCTAGAAGGCACTTTACTACAAAACACGACACACGCAACACGCAACTTATACTGGTCAAATGAACATCAAACATTGATGCTTCTTACAACATACCAAAAAACTCGTAATATTAAACAACGTGACCAAGCAATTGCCCGTTTCATTCCTCACTCTCTTGTCCGCCTATTTCTCCACTACATCATATTCATCCGACCTATAGAAAGGTATTTACATTTTAAAAGTCTATCATGCAATGTCTCATTCTATTCTTTTCTCTAGCCTCTTCATTTATGAATGCTCAACTTCACAGCAAAAAATGCTCGATACAATGGCATACTTCTTTATACGCAACGGCGCTAAAATGTCAGCTGACCTGCTCCGAACACACTTTCAAGCCCGCTGGCATCAACTCCTTCCTTCTCGCCTTAGTTTTCAAGATTATCGCCATGTGTCCGTTGCATTCTCACGCTATCACATCCAACACTTGCTCGCACACCATGGCTCAAATTATACAGTGGACCTGCAGGCAGGCCACTCGTCAAAAACTGCCGCACATAATTATGCACAGGCAACAACAGACTCGAATGCACTCTCTTCTGTAGCAATAGAAGAGTACTTTATTGCTTCAGAAATGTGGCATGATTTTCTTGGTATATTATCTTTGTTCTCATACTTTCACAACCTATCATTGAAATGTATTCACCACTCGTCAATTATAGGTGTCGGCCCTGGGCGTCATCTCTTTCCGGGTGCTATTCCGCAGGCGGAACAAGACCAAGTTGCTGCCCAGCATGGTAAATTCTTGGCAAACGTGGCTGCTGCAGAGAATGTGGCATTGCTTGAGATGCAACACCGTTTGCAAGTACAAAATGACTTGGACAGGCGCCAGTCAACAACCACTTCAACACCACCAGCACTTCCGCAAGGTACATCCTTTTTTTCATCATCCTTACATGTAAAATCATAATTAATATTGCTCTCTACATAGGCACATCCATCACACCACAGCTGCTTAATGCACTTGGTAAAGCCACTAACTCGCTGTCGCCTTCCTTCCGATCATTCGAACAGGCACAGCTTATCACCACCGTCATCTCCCGCAAATCTAGCATACTTGCCATCCAACCCACAGGCTCTGGTAAGTCCCTGCTATTCCTTGTCCCTGCACTCGTCGAGTCACATTTGACAACCGTCGTCGTGGTCCCACTTGTCGCACTTTTGGCCGATATGAAACGCCGGATTCAGCAAGCTGGGTTGTCTGTAATAGAATATACTCCGGATATCACTATACAGCACCCCTTGCCCAACATCATCATCGTCCAAGTTGAACATGCTAGCAGTCAACGGTTCCTCAACATTGTGCAGCAAATCAACGACCATAATCAGCTAGCCCGAGTCGTAATTGATGAGGTGCATACAGCAATCACATGGCGTTCATTCCGTCCGGCATTGTATACACTCCTTTTCCTCCGTTCACTCACCGTTCCGTTCCTTCTTTTATCCGCAACAATTCCACTATCATTCGAATCCGACTTACGTGACATGTTTGGCGCAGACCTTTTAATTATACGACAGCCGTCAATGCGACCAAACCTCTGTTATCAAATTATCAACACCACCAATCCACAAGCTGCAGCATATCACACCTACAAGCTCAGTATTCACCATCATCATCACCGTTATCCACCATCATCTACTGCTCTGCAGTAGATGCAACAACATCCATCAGCAACAAGCTTAAACAAGCATTACCGCACTATAGTACACAAATATCTTACTTCCACCGTAATCTTTCGGTAGACGAAAAACATAAACGAACAACTGCCTTTGTTTCCGGTGAGCTAAAAATCATGGTTGCAACAAGTGCATTCGGTGCTGGCATCGATTGCTCTACAATCTCAACAGTGATTCACCTTGGTGGCTCTGCATCAATCCTTGATTATGCTCAAGAAACTGGTCGTTCTGGTCGTAGTGGTTCCCGTGCACGGTGTCTGTACTTTGTTGACGTTGAACGCCAAAAAAGACAGATACAAAATCTAAAAAGAGTAAACTGGCACCTATCCCCGTGGCAAGCATTCAATGATGTTATTTTAGCATCAAAGTGCATCCGGCAGATACTTGCAGAGTCTTTAGACTCTCAAGTTACCAACTGCTTTGGGTACGGTAATGTCGAGCTTTGCTCATATTGCCAAAAAATCAAAGGTATACACACAGTTTCATTTTACTAATCAAATTATTAGACACTTAAGCTTCCAACCTATTTGTAGATTCTCCTCTCCCTCCTTCTACTACTGTCCGCCCCTCAACCGATTGGATTATCGATCACACACCACCATCAATTGTACGTATCTACAAAGTCATCTTTGTTATTACTCTATCAGCATTTTGTACTAAGCTATACACCTTTCCTTAGCCGACACCAATTGACGCATATCTTGGTCTTTCTCGAAAGAGAAAGTACATATCAGATGCTGACAACTTCAAGTCAGTTATGATGATAGCCAAGGATCACTGCATCCCATGCTTATTCACTTTTGGCATAGCTGAAAGTGAGCATACAACCTCTCCCCAGTGCATTGCTCACATTGGACAATGCTTCCGTTGTTTTGGTGAGCATTATGTCTCTAATCCAGCATGTGTGAAACCAATTAGGGAGGGCTTTTGCAAAAAGTGCCTTGTTCCTAACCAGTGGAACCAGACCATCTTCCATGATGGTAACTGGTCGAACTGTAGTGGTACCTATGAGGACCTACTATACCGTCTCTGCTGGGCAGCCTATCGGCGTAAGCCCCAATTTATCCGCCAAGCTGGTTATAAAGAAAGTCACCTTCAAGCAATCGAAATTCAACAAGATTTTGCATACTGGCTTATAGCTACTGGCCCCCACACATATCCCAATAATGCCATGCATCTAGGCCATATCATTCTATCACACTTCTTTGTTACTTAAAACGTTTACCTCTCTGCTCTCCTCTTTTTATCTCTTTACACATACTTTCTCTTCTCCCCTTCTCTTTTTTATTATTCTATATCTCCCTTATCTCTATTTTCTCTTTTTCTTTCTTGATTGCCACCCCCTTTTCTCTTATTTCTCTTAAATATATCATACTTCTTTATAGATCGATTTACACATATAAAAAAGTGTTCTAGTGCTAAGTGTTTGACTTTGTCCAAAAATGATACTTGATATCATTTATATAGATACGATACAAATGCAAATCAAAGACTTGAAGCTGCCATATAGCTATTTGTTATATTTTTCAGGTCGAATGTTTTCCCTCAAATTCTGCTGAAAAAATGACGATTGTCATTTGAACGTACATACATGTATACTGATCCCACTGCTTGAAGGGGCCAAAGATTCAACCTCAAAATCCACCTAGTCTACATAAGAGTATACTATATATTCAATAGTAAATTTGTCATATCATTATTATATATTAAGTAAGTAAGGTTTTTCATCATAATAAATCATGTTCCTGAGCTGTTTCTGATGCCAAATATTTAAAAAAATTGTGGAGTCCACCTGGGGTCTACCTGGGTGGACTAGGTAGACTCGGTAGAGTATACCTTATGATCAACAGTAAATGGCTTATATCTCTGCAATGTATTAACTAAGTAAGGTTTTTCATCATAATAAATCGTGTTCCTGGGCCGTTTCTGATGCCAAATATCTAAAAATATTTTGGAGTCCACCTGGAGTCTACCTGGGTGGACTGGGTAGACTGGACCTACTAAGTAATTGCCGTGGCAACTCTATAGATGTTCTATGTACAGATCACCATGAAAGCTAGTAGTCCCGATATCTACCATAAAGAGCAGGTTTGATACAGGGTATGCAAACTTTTCAACTATACTTTTTGTCAAATCCCATTTTGAATGATGGGGTGGACGAGAAAATAGAGAGGAGACCAAGTAGGCCATTATTGGATATGCAGAGAGCCGATCTAGGCGATACTTTAGATCACGTTGAATCTGAAGACTATTGATTGCATACTCAATAGCATCCATATACATGCTCCAGTAGGAAGCAATGTCATTAGATGTTTCCCAGTGTAAATATTGACGGCATTCCCTACAAATACATATAATTTAGTAAGAATCAATTATTTTCTGCCAATAAGTATACATAATAGATATACAAGTATAACATACCAGACACGATGATGCACTGCATCAATATTTATTAATGCACTTGCAGTAGACATGCGAAGCTCTAACCGAGCACCCCAACTTCGGTTGCTAATTCCGATACATGAATCTTGGATAAAGCGCTAAGTAGAATCATTTAAGTTATTTCAGTATATACATTCAATGTAATTGTATTCTAATAATCATAATGATAATACCTTATAAGCTCTAAAGGGTTGCCCCCCATTAATGAGCAGCTCTGGTTTGCAATCTTTTCCAAAGCGGTAGTTATCTTGTCCAGGGTTGTAAAATGGTTGCTTTATCTTGTGGTATGCAATCATTTTTTTTATGCCTTGCATTGACTGTTCTTGTGGCAAAGACTGTCCTTTTACAGTATATTGAAAGCCTGATAGAGACTTCCAATTTGAAAACGGGTTATGCCTATAGTTACTTTTTGTCAATGTAACATCTCCGAGGAAGCGCCGTATGAAGTCTGCATGACCACCGAATGCACGGTCACTACCAGTAGCACTCCATAACCCAACTAAAGGGGTATGTGATACTGGATGAAACTCGAACCCTAAGTCAATCGTTAAGTCCCGAGGATTAACTGTATACCAATTAATATCCGAAAATAAACTGCCAAGGTCCAAGTGAAGGTCTTCATATGGATGCTTTAACCCTATTCCTTTGGTATAAAAGAAAAAGCCTTGAAACCGAGCTACCCTCCGATCTTGGCTACTACTAGTAATCGACCTCATAGTATCACATAATTGCTGGCAATACACTGGAGGGATATATGTACCATACAGATTATGCTGACCTCTAGAATTCTGCAGCCTATACCCATCAGTATGATATGAGATACCAAAGTTATTACAAATGAATGCAGGTAAGCATTGGTGCATCGCAGGACAGAGAACAAGGTCTACAAAGTCTGAGATAACCTCTGTAGTAATTCTCTTTACTAGATGTCAATGACATATTATCACCATATAGTCTTGGAAAGTGGATTGAGGTCTACACAATATTGATATTAATATCTACATTCACTATTGATAGAAATATAAGATGTTGTAAAACATTTTACTATACCTTGAACCTATTATTGTATCCAAACTGACCAAGTAATAGGTATGGAACTTTGTTTAAAGGAATGGATTTTCCACGTCGAGACCCTTGGTTATCAATGTAACTCATTGTTTGTTTAATCTTGTATTTATACGGACGAAGGGTTATTGGAAAATGGACCGGCTGCAGGTATTATTTTTGTCTGGAAATCCATTGAGTCAATATCATAATAGAAATTCAGGTCTACTTGGCGGCTATCAGATGGTTGAATAGCAACCGGTAGGTTGTCTTCATCTTCAACAACAATGCCCGCAAACATTGCCTCTAGGAGTGCATATTCATCGAGCCCTTGGCATAGTCGAACAAATGTATTGAACGTTACAACCCGGTTTACTATATAATAAATAGCTATATATATTAGTATAATATATCTATTAATGACAGCATAATATAATATATAATAACGTACAGTTTTTTATGTCTAAAATTCGCTCTTGGAACTGCATGCGTAGATTTTCTGGTTGATACCGATATATCGAGTTACGAATAATAGTAGTTGCTTCTTAATCTTCTAACTCATTTTCTTCAGATTCATCACTATCTTCATCAGTACTACTAAAGATATAGTCTGAATCACTATCTGACTCGGAATCAGAATTTGAGCTTGGTGAGCTACTGCTACTAGAGCCACTACCAGAACTATGAGAATTGGAGTCGCTACTCAAGGGAGAATCTGAATAAAACAAAAACGTTAGAGATGTCTTAGAGTATACTACATTCAGTTTTAGAGCATTGGTCAATACTAACTGTCTAAGTTATCACCATGGATAGTAACAAATTGACCACCTAGTGGTCTCATAAATCGTATGGTATCTGCAGCAAAATCAAAAGCTACCAACAATAAGACAAATGAGCTATTAGTATTAGTAAATGTGCTAATCCGATTATATCTTTGATTAAATAGTAGTCCTTACCAAATGGGTCTACAACTAGTGGTAGTGAATGCTATGACGGATGTGCTGTATTCTCGTTCTGGCTAGAGATAGTAATATTATCTATTCCTATGTCTAATGAGTGTGTTGATGATTGTCTTTCAAGGATGGGTTGAGCCTGTAATGATGTCTCAGACCCTAAACAGCGGCGTTGACCTAATAGAAACATTATATAGGAACATATATTAAAACCCTTAAATATATAGAAGGTATAAGTTAAACTTACTAGGTCGTTCATCACCAAGACGTTCTCATTCCCGTGTTCTCTTATCGATTGGTAAAGATTATTAGGTAAACGCCTTATCATCCCAGTAGATGGAGTAGCACTTATTACTTGGCTGTAGGCTACATTGATATTGCTATCAAATGTACCATCAGATACTGGTCTACGTGTAAGGACTATAGAGTAATATTTAGTTTGAATAGTTTCTTGAAATTAAAAGTAGAGTTGTGCCTTTTTTTAAGGATATAAAATTATGAGCTTACATGAGCGAATAGGGCGGGTTGGTCTAATATATTGTCGCGGAGGTGTATTAGAACGTTGCCTACTACTACTAGAAGAGCCTTGACTTGTACGATACATTGGAGAACTCTTTAGTATTTCTACCAATTAATGTTTATATATGTAGAGAAGTAGAGGTAGTTGATATATGGAGGTTAAGCTATAGATGGCCACGTTAAAGACCAGTTCTGCTATAGCAACAACAACATATGTAGAGGTAAAGGTTATAGATGCAGTGATTCTCAACTATAGATAGCCACGTTGAAGACCAGTTCTGCTATAGTATCAAGAATTTATATAGGGATAGAGGTAGAGATAGTAGATAGATAGATTTTCAGCTATAGATGGCCACGTTGAAGACCAGTTCTGCTATAGCAAGTGAATTTGTTTGACCACGTTTGAGTGAGGTTTGGTCTAAAAGCTTATATGTAGTTATATGCTGGCAAGGGGTAGAGTTCTGCTTTTCAACAACCTCTCCTCTATATATCCTTGGGGTGGTCCACCGACCTTTCTGCCTAAAAGTTAGTGTAATTTGATAGAGCTCTATCATAGCTTTCATAGGAGCTTTCATACTACTTTAGAAATCGTTGTATCTTTTCAACCAGTGATGCTAGAGCAATATAATTAAGTGTTTTAGAATCAGAAAGCTATAGTTTTATAACAAAATGTTAATTTCAAACACTGTACATTCGGTACTCCTTTGCTATATAAATGCATAGTATGTACTAAAAGTTTATTTACAAAATTAAACTTCCGGAGGTCATAGAGATATCAAACATATTGAATAAACTACCTCTTTCTTGTCTTCTTTTTACTAGTTTGCCGATGTTTTGCTTTATACATATGGCATACCTTAAGAGCAAGCATTTACATATGCTGTTATGCATATATTCTACTAAACTGTGAATAATAGTACTAATGTAATACTAGGGGTCGTAATTGGATAGGTTGGGTTGGGTCAAGGGTCTAACTAGTTGACCCACAGGTCAAAAAACACTGACCCGACCTCACCTATTCAACCTGATGGGTCAAAACTCAGGTTAGCGGGTCAAGACTGATTTCGGTATGATGATGAAGGAAGTATCAATCAATCTGAACTTGAGTACTCGAAGTACAAAACTCTATATATATATAGCTCTCCAAGATGATGGCATGCAAATTCCTAGCAGTACTAGCAACATCTACTTTTAAAAGGTAAAGGGTTTTGTACCATCACGCTTGTACTCACATGTATTACTGTAAAGAAAGCATTATGGTTAAAGTGTAGTTGAAAATCGACTTCCCTATATGCCCCTAATCCTTTTCCTTTTCCCTTTGCTTATCACTTCATCCTTCTACCCTTCGTTTTTCTTTTCTCAATTCCTTTTCAGTCTTTTGTCAAATCTCGTCTCTTACTGCCACCCTCTATAGTCTGTTCTCATTGTACTATTGCTACTTCTTTACTCCTTTTAGATATATCGCTTATAGCTTACTGATGCTTTACTCTTAAATATAAAATATAATCCCACAATAAAAAGAACTTAAGTCCATTTTATGTTATAGCTCTATAGCAGACATATTGACAACTACATCCTATAATATAATGATGCTTCCCAATAAGAAGATTGACTACTTGAATACAAGTACCTTATACATATTATATGTATATATAGGTCACAATGGGTCAATGGGTTGACACGCAGGTCAGAAAAGCATCAACCCGACCTGTTGACCTGTCCTCAACCCGCAGGTCAGATTGCAACCCCTATGTAATACTACTCAATCCTTTGACTTTGCTATTACCATCCACATTCTCTTTTGAATGATAGTGCTACTGCTATTCATATCCTCTTTTATAGTTTAAATATAGAGTGTAGTTATACTAGTCCCACTGCATAGTAATAGTTTTTGAACAAAAGAGTCTAGTTTTACTTTATAGCTCAATAAAACAAGATATTGCCTACTGAAAAAAAGATAGCAGGCTGCAGGGTTCGAACCTGCGCCTTCCCAAGCCTCAACAGGATTGGGAAGGCGCCTTAGTCTACTTGACCAAGGCAACCTACTGATATATCTTAGCCATTGCACTGCTGCTATACCGCACAACCATTCCCTTTTGAATGATAGTGCTACTGCTATTCATATCCTCTTTTATAATTTAAATATAGAGTGTAGTTATACTAGTCCCACTGCATAGTAATAATTTTTGAACAAAAGAGTCTAGTTTTACTTTAAAGCTCAATAAAACAAGATATTGCCTGCTGAAAAAAAGATAGCAGGATGCAGGGTTCGAACCTGCGCCTTCCCAAGCCTCAATAGGATTGGGAAGGCGCCTTAGTCTACTCGACCAAGGCAACCTACTAATATATCTTAGCCATTGCACTGCTGCTATACCGCACAACCATTCCCTTTTGAATGATAGTGCTACTGCTATTCATATCCTCTTTTATAATTTAAATATAGAGTGTAGTTATACTAGTCCCACTGCATAGTAATAATTTTTGAACAAAAGAGTCTAGTTTTACTTTAAAGCTCAATAAAACAAGATATTGCCTGCTGAAAAAAAGATAGCAGGCTGCAGGGTTCGAACCTGCGCCTTCCCAAGCCTCAACGGGATTGGGAAGGCGCCTTAGTCTACTCGACCAAGGCAACCTACTGATATATCTTAGCCATTGCACTGCTGCTATACCGCACAACCATTCCCTTTTGAATGATAGTGCTACTGCTATTCATATCCTCTTTTATAGTTTAAATATAGAGTGTAGTTATACTAGTCCCACTGCATAGTAATAGTTTTTGAACAAAAGAGTCTAGTTTTACTTTACAGCTCAATAAAATAAGATATTGCCTGCTGAAAAAAAGATAGCAGGCTGCAGGGTTCGAACCTGCGCCTTCCCAAGCCTCAATAGGATTGGGAAGGTGCCTTAGTCTACTCGACCAAGGCAACCTACTGGTATATCTTAGCCATTGCACTGCTGCCATACCGCACAATCATTCTCTTTTGAATGATAGTGCTACTGCTATTCATATCCTCTTTTATAGTTTAAATATAGAGTGTAGTTATACTAGTCCCACTGCATATTAATAGTTTTTGAACAAAAGAGTCTAGTTTTACTTTACAGCTCAATAAAACAAGATATTGCCTGCTGAAAAAAAGATAGCAGGATGCAGGGTTCGAACCTGCGCCTTCCCAAGCCTCAACAGGATTGGGAAGGCGCCTTAGTCTACTCGACCAAGGCAACCTACTGGTATATCTTAGCCATTGCACTGCTGCCATACCGCACAATCATTCTCTTTTGAATGATAGTGCTACTGCTATTCATATCCTCTTTTATAATTTAAATATAGAGTGTAGTTATACTAGTCCCACTGCATAGTAATAATTTTTGAACAAAAGAGTCTAGTTTTACTTTAAAGCTCAATAAAACAAGATATTGCCTGCTGAAAAAAAGATAGCAGGATGCAGGGTTCGAACCTGCGCCTTCCCAAGCCTCAACAGGATTGGGAAGGCGCCTTAGTCTACTCGACCAAGGCAACCTACTGGTATATCTTAGCCATTGCACTGCTGCCATACCGCACAATCATTCTCTTTTGAATGATAGTGCTACTGCTATTCATATCCTCTTTTATAGTTTAAATATAGAGTGTAGTTATACTAGTCCCACTGCATAGTAATAGTTTTTGAACAAAAGAGTCTAGTTTTACTTTACAGCTCAATAAAACAAGATATTGCCTGCTGAAAAAAAGATAGCAGGATGCAGGGTTCGAACCTGCACCTTCCCAAGCCTCAACGGGATTGGGAAGGCGCCTTAGTCTACTCGACCAAGGCAACCTACTGGTATATCTTAGCCATTGCACTGCTGCCATACCGCACAATCATTCTCTTTTGAATGATAGTGCTACTGCTATTCATATCCTCTTTTATAGTTTAAATATAGAGTGTAGTTATACTAGTCCCACTGCATAGTAATAGTTTTTGAACAAAAGAGTCTAGTTTTACTTTACAGCTCAATAAAACAAGATATTGCCTGCTGAAAAAAAGATAGCAGGATGCAGGGTTCGAACCTGCGCCTTCCCAAGCCTCAATAGGATTGGGAAGGCGCCTTAGTCTACTCGACCAAGGCAACCTACTGGTATATCTTAGCCATTGCACTGCTGCCATACCGCACAATCATTCTCTTTTGAATGATAGTGCTACTGCTATTCATATCCTCTTTTATAGTTTAAATATAGAGTGTAGTTATACTAGTCCCACTGCATAGTAATAGTTTTTGAACAAAAGAGTCTAGTTTTACTTTACAGCTCAATAAAACAAGATATTGCCTGCTGAAAAAAAGATAGCAGGCTGCAGGGTTCGAACCTGCGCCTTCCCAAGCCTCAATAGGATTGGGAAGGCGCCTTAGTCTACTTGACCAAGGCAACCTACTGATATATCTTAGCCATTGCACTGCTGCTATACCGCACAACCATTCCCTTTTGAATGATAGTGCTACTGCTATTCATATCCTCTTTTATAATTTAAATATAGAGTGTAGTTATACTAGTCCCACTGCATAGTAATAATTTTTGAACAAAAGAGTCTAGTTTTACTTTAAAGCTCAATAAAACAAGATATTGCCTGCTGAAAAAAAGATAGCAGGCTGCAGGGTTCGAACCTGCGCCTTCCCAAGCCTCAACAGGATTGGGAAGGCGCCTTAGTCTACTCGACCAAGGCAACCTACTGATATATCTTAGCCATTGCACTGCTGCTATACCGCACAACCATTCCCTTTTGAATGATAGTGCTACTGCTATTCATATCCTCTTTTATAGTTTAAATATAGAGTGTAGTTATACTAGTCCCACTGCATAGTAATAGTTTTTGAACAAAAGAGTCTAGTTTTACTTTACAGCTCAATAAAATAAGATATTGCCTGCTGAAAAAAAGATAGCAGGCTGCAGGGTTCGAACCTGCGCCTTCCCAAGCCTCAATAGGATTGGGAAGGTGCCTTAGTCTACTCGACCAAGGCAACCTACTGGTATATCTTAGCCATTGCACTGCTGCCATACCGCACAATCATTCTCTTTTGAATGATAGTGCTACTGCTATTCATATCCTCTTTTAT